CAGCTACATAACGGGAAGATCCGCCTGCACTGAAAGGTCAGCTGCAAAGCCTACTTGCAGTCCAGCTCTTCCATCTGCTCCTCATTTTCTCTTTTTTTCCTCCTGCCCAGATGCAGCTGCCCGCCCTGCTAACGTAAGCAGCCGAAAGCCCCACTGCATCAGCCCTCCGCACAGCCAATCCCTCCGCTCCCCTCCCAGCTTTACGAGGGCAAATGCCCCCCGACACGCTGACGCACTGACAGCACATCAAGTCGAGGGGAACCGCTCGGCAGCGCGGATGCTCCTTGCTTCAGAAAGCACGGCTCGGGACAAGTCCCAGGGGATCCCGGTCCCAGCGCCTGGGTCTGCCCAACGAGAAACACATTTCCATCATCACGGCGGCCGCACATCTGCTTTTCCTCTGCTCCAGAGCGCCCTTGCGCAAACCCGAGCTCAAACTTCAGGGCCGTGCTTCAGTTTGGGGATGGGCCGGGTGGGCTTTTGGAAAAGGTGTCGCCCAAATTTTCCTCGTCCATCCGATCTAAAGGCTGCTGTCGTCTCTTCAGAAGAGCTGGCGACGGGAAGCACCGGAGCAAAACGATGCAGTTAAACCAGCGGCGGCAGGAACACCCTCCACGGCAGCAGGGAGACCCTCAGCACACACTTGGACCCCTGCAAAGCCCGGGGCGAGGACAACCGGGACTCCACCACCATACCCACAGCCACCGGGCAGGTCCCCCAGCAGGGGACTTGCAGACACAGCCGTACCACCAGGCAGGGCTAACCAAAGGTAGAGCAGGTTGCTCAGGACCTCATCTAGAAAACTGATGTTTTTTCTCTCCTGAACGGCTCGTTTTGCAGCATTTTTTTATCACTGTTTTTTTCCTTAGAGACCGCTGCATCACTAATAAATCAATGGAGCCTTGTAATCAATCTGTAATTATCAATTATTCTGGGGTTTCTGTATAAAGGAATCATTTATTCTGTAGTTTTCAGTCACCAATGCTGCCAGTTCACCCCAGGACACCATCCGCCACACACCGACGTGTTACTCCAGCCACCACCACCAGCACAAAGAGCCAGAGGAACATCGCGGTGTCCAGCAAGAAGGACCACGCAGACATCAGATGAGAAAAGCAACCTGCTAGTTCTCCTCCACCTTTGGGGTAAAGCGCTCTGCTTCCCCCCCCAGAAGTTGTTTTAGGTAATTTTCTCCAAAAAGGACTTTCCAAGATTAGCATTTTGGCATCCAAAAGAGTAAAAGCCTCCCCGCTGCCTTCATTTGCGTTCTTGCAAGCTCGGGAGGTGCAAGGCAGGCTCTCAGATTAAGCAGATTTGCCCCTCGAAACTCAGGAGCTTATGATGATCACTCTAACACCATTACTATGGGCAAATTACGCAGCCAAGAGGAGGAAAAAAATGAAAAAATTGCAGGTATTTTGGACACTAAATAGATCTTCCACCTTTCTCTGCCCTCAGCTCTCCACAGAGCACACACACGGACGACCCACATTCAAGTCCCCGCAGAACCTGAATGATATTCAATATAACGGCTCTTAAATTGGCTCTGAGACCCTTCTTCCCCCCAAGAGCTGGTTCTCGCAGCAGCTGAAGCGAGAAGCACGGCGAGTCGTGAGCTTCTGCCATGTTAATCAGTCACCGGGGTCTGGGTGAGCCCGTGGGAGCCATCTCTGCCCGACCCAGGCTGAATGCAATTTCCCCTGTGTGTAACTGGATTACCTGCAGAGCAGTTTTTATGTCGCAATTTTGTTATTTGTCAAGTGCAGTTACAAATCTGGCAGCCCAAGTTTCACCCTTCCGACATCAGCTTTCCCCACCTGTCAGAAAAACCCCAAAATGGATTAGATTATTGGCCGGGCGCTCAAAAAAAGTTTTAAAAGCCTCCCCAGCACTGCAATTAAAAAAGAAACAGAAAGTCTCAGAAAAGACAATCTTCAGGCAACATCTGAAGCAGCTGATACTGCAAAGGCACGTGTACAGCAGCACAAGTTCGTGCCTTACCACAGATATCAAAAAGGCTCTTTTTTCCTTAATCTGCCCCTGATATCAAAAGTCCACTTTAAACTAATCATCTGCACAGTCTTTGTCCTGCTGTCAAATTTGGCTGAAATGGGCAAGGTTCAAAAGTTACCAGGGAAAGAGAAGAGAAGACAGACCCATGCAGCCCTTAGCCCATAGGAACCTACGTTGAAATTCAGGCTGAGTTATATGCTGCGATCCACGTTCAATGGGATGTCAAAACCAAGTCAAACAAGACCAGAAAAGCAACAGAACCCGACATTCTTCATTGCTGTTATGGTAATGTTAGTAGGCTGTACCATAGGTCTAAAAATAGAAACTAAATCCTCTCCAGGGTTTAAAAACTAATAATAATGAACCTATAGAACTTCATAAAGAAGAAACTGTTTCTGCTGTAAAGTTTTATTGCAGGGCACAAACCCCTCCCCTTAAGATGTTAACTATCAAAATATTGAAAGCATCTTACAAAAGCTGTTTTCTCTTTGGACCCTGTCTCCAGAGCTCTGGTTCACTTCATCCCTTTAAAGCTTCCATTGCTTGCAGGTCGGTTATACACCAGCAGCTCACAAATAAACTCAAGGCACTGCTAGCCAAGGGATGCACGTGTCACCACACCTATCTCTGACACCAAACACCATTTAATATCCACTTGCTACTTCTGCATTTGCACCACATCCACCTCCTGAACCAGCTCGGAGTTTGTTTGATCACCCTGAAGGGAACTGAATAATTAAATTGATTTGACTACACAACTGGATGTAATAAAGCCTGTCCATATGCTTCTGCTGAGTAAGACTCTCAAGGCTGTTTTATGTTTAGTTTCCTCCTTCTTCAGGTATACGTATTGCTTAGGAAATGCAATTATCGTCACCTCCTTATTAGATAAAGCTAATTACCATAGCCACAGCCATGTGGATGCAGTAATTCAGCGTTTGCTAGGTTTGGCTCAGCCAGTTTTACAAAGTCAGGAATAAGACCAGCCGCACAGCTCGCCTGGACTGCAGGTCCTGGAGGGAAGGAGAGAGGAGGGAAAACCTCTCGGCAACATTAACACCATTTTCCTGGTGCAGATATGGCAGCAGGGCTGGAGGTCACTGCCAGGCCCCGGCACCATCCAGGAGAGCTGAAGCAGCACCAAAATCCCTCACCAGGAGCTGGGATGGGCTGCCCACCCGGACAGGCTGGGGGTGATGCTCCGTCCTAGGGAAAAATCACTATTTCCCCCCAGCGCTTCTGGTTTTCAGAGCTCTGCAACCAAACCACAGGCACAAGCTTTGCCAGAATATGACTGACACAGAGAAGGGGGGGAAACCTGCCATGGGCACTGCTAATCCAGAGGCGGTTACCCACATCCCCCAAGAACAGAAAGCCACCCTAAAACTGCCATTAAACAGCCCAATTAGAGCAAACTCTCCCATCTTAATTTCTAATCAATTAAACTCTTCATTTCCAACAAACCACTTGTACATTTGTATAACCTCTGGGGCCGGGCAGGTACCGCCTGAGGGAGGCAAACCACCGCTCTGCGCCCACCCCAGCCCTCCTGCCCTCCCAAATCAGCAGCCCCGTTTGCTCATAGACTTCCCCACCCTTCCCTCACACTAAATTTTTTGAAATTGGTGGAGCCCTGAGTGCTTTCGTGTTAGGGATGCAACAGCAGTGCAGATTCGTTCTGCAAAATTAACCCCCTCTCGCACCGCTCCCCTTCTGGGGCCGGTGCTGCTGGGGAAAGAAACGCTGCTGTCTTCCCCCAGGAAGGCTCACAGGGGTCCAGGGGGAAAGAAAACTGAAATCGTCTCTCTCTTTCCCTTCTGATCCTCCTTCCCTTGAGCTTCCAAGTCCATCACACACAGAAAACTCAATAGAAGTTTCTGTGGTTTATGGGTGTTCAGGGGGAACTGGGCCAGGGCATGAGGTGGCAGAGACAAGGAGTGAGTTTTCCTAACACAGTCCTTTGGAGGAAGGAAAAGAAAGGAAGGAAAAGAAAGGAAGGAAAAGAAAGGAAGGGAAAGAAAAAAAAAAAGGCATCAACCACAGGAAAGAGAAGGCTAAGTACTTTTCTTTACCTCATAAATGGAACAGCAGGGCAAATAGCCAGGAAGACCCTTCCAGAGCATCAGGCAGTGCAGGACTTGCTGCACTCATTAAAAAAAGCACGAACAGAGCTGGAAACGTGCTGTGAACACGGAGGATCTAGACAGCGATTTTTACCAACCCATCACAATGAGCGCATAACACGGGAGTCGCTCCCCGACGAGCCATCGCGCCCCTGGGAGCCGGAGCACCGCGGCCGTCCGAGTGCATTACTGGGGATGAGGGGAACCAGCCGGGAGGCTGCAGTTTGGGATCTGGCCAGAACAAGGTCTCCCTCCTCCTGCAGAAAGCTGCTCAGAGCCTTTAACAGCCCCAGGTTACCCGCGTTATTTCTCCCCCAGAAGACGCCTCCCTCTAACACCGACATTTCAGTGGTGCCCATGGGCACGGCAAGGGCACCAACTCCCAAATTACCCCTCCTCCTCCAAGCCTCTGCAAAATCTCTCCTTGCCGACAGGCTGGGCAGGACACCTCTGCCCCCAGGGAAAAATTTTTTGGAGTTTGGTGAATGAGGACCTCTTTCAACACCTGAAGCTCTTCCACCAATGTCCCCAAATTTGGCCACCGCCAGCTGTGAGCGGGACAAACCCCAAAGCCTTCGCTGACTTTGCAGTCCAGTGAACTCTTAGGCAAGAGCACGAACAATACCATGAAAGGGCTCAGGTATTTCACCCTATAAACATTAATGGAGAATACTGCACAGGCTCCTGTGTTTTACAGCTAAATCCCTCAAAAGCTATCACTGATGAAAAGGGAGGGAAGCAGGATAAAAAAAAAAAAAAAAGAGACCAAGACAGGCAAAGAAAATCAAGTGTCATGGAAAAGATGGAGAGGACCACGGAGAGCAGATTAGAAGAGAATAAAAATAAAAGGAATAGCGGAGTTACCGGGTAACCATCGCGTCCTGACTGCCCCTGTGGTGGGGGAACAAGTGAGATAACAAGTCAGTCAATGCACCCGTAGCAGCATCGCAACACATAGCAGCAGGCAGGAGACGGGGCCATCAGCTCCCCAGCCAGCCCCGGGACTAAACTCTCTCCAGAGAAACCTCTCAGGGCAAATTTTCCTTTCGGGAAGGTCATGCTTACAGCACATTTTTCCCCAGATTTTGATCTCGTGCTTCCCTTTAGCTACTTACCAAGGCTTTTGCCAACTCACACCCACCCCTGCTGCCTGTGCTCGGTCCCTGCCGCTGTGGATGCGCGTGGTACCCACTAGATCCTGGCCATAAACCCGCCCCGGGACGTGGGTACCGAGGGGTACGGGAGCACCCGGGTGCTGGGGAGGCTGCGGCGATGCCAAGCCAGCGGCTGGGACAGCCCGCCTGCCCGGGAGCAATTGCTGAGCTTCAAACTCCTATTCCAGCACTTGGTTCAATGAAGGTTTCCCCCTCTTTGATCCGTTAATTTCCTCGCGGGATGCGGCTCTCCCAGCTCACCTCTACGCTTTGCTTTAGTTTGCAACGAAGCAGAAAGAAAAGCTGATGCTGCGGGGAAAAGACCTTACTTAAGTTGCCAGCAACACCTGCAAGATCAGCGGAAGAAACCGCAACCCATTTCAGGATATTTCACCTTTTCTGCTCTCCTCAGGGGGGTTCCCAAAGGCATTTACAGCTTGAGCTGCCGTTAAACGCGCCGTGAGCAAGAGCAGAGGAGCCTGCTGCAAGCCAGACGTAAGGCAGATTCCCGGGAAGGAGCTGTTAAGTATTAGCTGGTACACAAGTAGGCAGTAAAGCGTGTATCTGGTACAGCAATGTTGTCTGCTACCATAAACATAGGTTATGTCGGCATGCTGCGGCTATACAGTCAGATTCATACATTTCTTAGGGCATGAAATAGCTCTGGCAGCCCCCTTCGTACCACGCACGGTGGTTCTCCCGTCTTGCTAAGTGCCCCTGCAGCTTTCAATGCCTCCTGCAGCCCGACTGATTCATCCAGAAACAACATTGACTTCAACAACCACCTATTTAACAAATTACAGTCTTGGGATAAAGCGTACAGTGAGATTTTTATGGAGATGTATGGCACTGGAGCACGCGCAGATAAATAGGAAACACTTGTAACTCCCAGCCCTTGCTCGCTGGTGAGTTCCCCAGCCAGCATGCTAATACATAAAGTGTTTGTTAATATCTGGGACTGTAAATGTTTAATTACGGTCTGTGGTAAGTCTATCCTTCAACTGTAGAAATTTCCTACCCAGCATGTGATTTTAATACCCTCCAAAACAGAGGGTTTATAGCACATCTGAGCAGAATACCCCTTACTCACAGACAGGACGATAAATCATCCAACAGCCACAAATCCTGTACCACAAATTCTAATAATTTCATATACACAACTAGCTTATGACAGCCAAAAAATAAAATACCAGAACAACTGCTACTAGGGAACAACAGAATTGAGGATACAGTTTTAGCAGAGTGTGATGCTGTACATGTAAGATGTAATCGATTCCTTATGGCCAAAATCAAGAAACAGAAGAAACTAATAGAGTTAAATACAGTACTGTTGAAATAAAATAATATTGTGGTTCTGTGGGTTCTAGGACTTTTATTATATATTATGTTTAAAGAAGTCTCTGGCAAATACTGCTTGCAGGATTTTTTTTTTTTTTTAGTTTTTTTTTTTAAATGAACTAAACCAGGAGTTGTCTTTTAAAGAAGGGCAAGGGGTGGGGCGGGGGGAGAAAAAAGTCTTGTTTGTGTTAAAACTCCCCTGTACTCCATTTGCAATTCAATAGTGCCGTGGGAACCAGGAAATGAAACCAACTAGAGACAAAGAAAAATTAATAGTGCACCATATGTTGCCTATGTCAAATCACATACAATAAAAGTGAACAGACAGCACACGTGAGGAAGCGTAACCCAGCTGGCTGCGTGTGGGCTGATAACTGCCTCTGAGCAGGAGCAGAGCCGAAATGGTTAAATAAATCCATTTTAAATAAGTCAAAGTACTTCATTAAAGAGAAAAACATCCCTTAAAAGATGTATAATATGGAGTTTTAAATAGGCAGTATCCTCTTCATTGGTAACCTGCCATTGAGTGAGAATTTTTTTTTTTTCAATAATTAAGCCCATTTGCATGAATTGCAGAGAGGAAAAAAAATATATATATAATAACCACGCAGAAGCCCAGCTGGGACTGACTGTAGCACCCAAAAGGGCTCCCCAGCTGCACAAGGCTGCGCTTAGCCTCAGCGGATGCTCTCCATGACCTCAGGATCTTGCCCAATGACGTGACTGCGACGCAGGTTTTGGTGAAACAGGTAAACAGCCGTGCTGCTGGGCAGCCGTGCCAAGCTCTGGGCCAGGCAGGCGGGAATTCACCTCCCAGGGGTGCTCCTTCAGTCAATGCCCAAGTTGCTAATATTTCAAAAACCCATAGAGTCACTTCTGTTGTGTGGGTTGGAGAGGCTGCGTTGCAGTTTTTAATTACCGAACATTTACAGGAAAATTAATTTATTGATAGGCTACATTTCTGAACACAAACTAGCAAGAAAAATTCATTTGTTTGCATTTCTCAAGCCAGAGTCTTGGATTTATTGCAAATGCTGGGTACAACTTTTAAAGCAAATTAATTTAGATGTCCCGTAAGGATAGTCAAGCCAAAGCTGTTAAGTCTTAAATTTTCCCGATTTGCTCCTTCAAAACCTGGCCAAATAATAATTGTGCTCAAAGCCCTCTTAAATCTTTACATTAAAAAATGAACTTGAAATAGAAGCAAAAATTCAAAGGGCTGAAAGCCATCAACTAAACCCACAGGCAGCGCTGCCGATCCCAGGAGAACCAAGCCACAGCACCGCGACAGCCCCCATGCTTCACCTCCATTTCCTTGCCACCTTTTGGCTTTTACACAGATTTACAGAACTGGAAATTAATTAGCCCAGGAATAGTTAGCAAATTTATTTTTCCTGAAACGATCCCTTTTCAACTCAGCGATGCTCTATAGGAAGAGAACAACGTGAAGAAACATCTCTTAGTGCAACGATGGAGAAGGAAACACGTGGCTGCAAACAGCCTGTGCCTCTCCTCCTCCTCCTCCTCTTCCTTTGGGGGAAGAAAGGTAGAAAACCAGAAGCACCTAATGCCCCTAATTTCTTTTTTAAGAATCCCTCAGCAACTTGGAGGGCACAAATGAAATGCCGTTTTCTCACTCCAAAACCAGCAGGAGAACATCAGATTTGGACGTGGTGGTGGCACAGCCAAAGGCACGTCTGCACATTTGGAAGGAGGAGTTGACACATTTTCAACTATTACCCCTTCAAACAACAAATTCCCCATTGGTAGGAATGCTCGTTATTCTCCCCAACACTTCAAAGAGAGAAGCAAGCAAGCTACGGCTTTCCTTCTAGCCCCCCCTGTGAGGCTACCAAACCCATATTAAATAATAGAAACACGACAGATAAGAAAAGCAAGACAGAGTTTTAGAACTAAAAAACCCCACTGAAATGTTAAAATATTAGTACAGCACTGTTTCTGCTAAATGGAAGTGGACTGAAGAACTCTTTAAAGGGAAAACTCTTTTTTACTGAATATTTTCTGGGTTTAAAATTACTGGAAGTCCCTCAGGGCAGCAAGTTAAACATTTAAAAACTTTTTTTCCCCTTCTCTATTTGTCTACAATCGTGAAAAAAAAAATACAGCAGCATCTGGTACCAATTTTGCTTCCAGACACACCTCTACCAAAAAATGCTGTGCTTTTGCAATGACACCGAACGGCAGGGGAGGGGGGAAGGGGAAGCCTTAACTTTGTTGATCCAACAGTAAAATCCAGGATACTTACGGCAGGTCCTGGAAAACAAAAGAAAAACAAAGAAAAAAACGTCACTTAATTACAAAGAAAAAGTATAATCTGATAAAACAGCACACAGCAGGAACCGAAATCAGAACGATTCAGTACTTTTCAGTTCATTTCCAATGGGATGACTTTCCCGATACACTTCACACCATCCGCATCCTCCTGTTACGGGAACATCTCACCCCTGCTGCTGCAGGGCAGTATTTACAGGGGGTGTAAACCCAATCTTTTCCCATCTTTTCCCCAGTGTCACTCTGTTCCGTCTCCCCCCACGAGACCCCGGGCACTTCACAAGGCATCGCCCGTGTTCAGGGCTTGGGGCACCACGTGCCACCGCAGAGCAGCGCCAGCAAAAAGCAGATAGACTCAGCTGGAATTTTATGAGCAAGAAGTACGTTTTCACTATGGAGCTTATTTTTCTTCAGGTTATACAAGAGGAGCTGGAGATACACTTGCAAAAGCCAAAGGAGCAGTGCAGTGCCAGGGGCACCGGGCAAGGATGTTGCTACAGGTGCCACAGATCCCAAACATCACTGTAATTTGGTTCCCACTCCTCCCTGACCTCAAAACACGTCACACAACCCCGCGGTCCTGCGTCACCTCCACGCAGCCCCTGCTCGAGGGCTTTGCTGTGCTCGGAGGCAGCCGGTGGGCTGACGCACGGTGCCTTAGACCCAGGGGAAAAAAAAAACCAAAAACCCACCATCGCATCTACAACGGGCTTTGGGTGCCACAGTCTGAAGCTGTGATTAATGGCAGTTGGTAAAAAATAAACACCCCATATCTCCTCGCGGCGCAGGGGTCTTTGCCGCCTGCCACACCGATTTCTGCAGCTTTCCCACCGCTCGCCCAGGCTGGTGTGACGCAGAGGTGAACTCTGAGCCCCTGATCTAATGCAACCCACATTTCACTCTTGTTCGCAAGACAGCCTCTAGTACTCTGTTTAGGGCTTCTTCATGCTCCATTTCCTGCCTGATCAAAACCAGAAACTAATCACAATTAAAAAAGAAAAAATGTGGGAAAAATTAAAATGGAGGGGAAAAAAAAATAAGCAGCTAGGTTCATCTTATATTATTCAAGAATATAAAATAAGAAGCATATTTCAAGCTAAC